GCCTGCGGGCCGGGGGCGTGAGCTCCCGCGGAAACGCGGCCCGGGATTTGTTAGCGCTTAAACTTCCAGCCAGGGAAGAAACCGCCTTTGGAGCGCAACTGCAAACTTTTTATTTTGTTAATTTTTTGGGTTTGGGGTTTTTTTTGTTTGTTTTGGTTTTGTTTTGGTTTTTTGCCGTAGCTGAAGCCTGTGCTGCCTGAGCAGGCCGAGGGCGCATGGACGAGCGTGTAGCAAAGAGCTCGGTTTTGGTCTAAAAGGCCCCGTTCGCGCGATGGGCTTCGTGTGGCCCAACAGCCTTACCTTCGGCTGAAAATTACCCAGCTTAAAACCATAGGTGACCTAAGCTGCCTTTGCCAGGAGGCCCATTTCAGGGGCGAGAGGAGCCTCGGGACTGCTTCAGCTGTGTTTGGGTCTAAAAAAAACCCAACCCCAAAAACTTATTGTAGAGGTTTAACAGAGTTAAAGTTGTTACGGAGACTCGGGACAAAGTATTGTCCCTGGTCAAATGATGCCTTAACTCCTTTGATAGGCCTTTCAGTCCATCTCTGTGCTGTGTCTGGAACAGGCGGTTGTTTGTTTTTAGCTGCTGCCTCATATCCAGCTTTTGTTCCTCTCCTGGGACAGTTCACCTGTTTGTTGCAGGGAACCTTTCATGAGCAGTGGTTCCCACTCGCTCTTTCTGGATCTGATGCAGGATTTGGAGAAAACTAAATCCTGAGACCTACCTAGGGCATGTTAGCTTGGTTGTTGCTTTTTTTGTGGTTGTTTTTTTCCCCCCAGGCTTAGACTAGGTAACAGTTCTGCTGTCTGTGTGATTTTAAAACCGTGCACTTCCAAAAGCAAACTTCTAAAGCCCTCTTTTTATCTTAGAAATCTCAAGAATTAGTTTTACTTGTCCTAAATGTTGTTTGTGACTTAAAGTATTAGATTCTCCGATGGCTTTATTTGGGGATTTTTTTTTTCTTTTTCTCTCAGTAGGGAAATATGAAGTCTCATCCCCACCCCGAAAAGGTTGTTTGGGAAAATACTTACTTTCTGTTGAATGTTCTTCTGATGCATCTGTGTGCCCTCCTCCTGCCCTGTTCTGGCCTTATCCAGGTCTCCAGCCACACAGGACTAGCATTTCTGTTTCACATATGCAGGCTAATTCTGGCTCAAATTTGGACCAAGGTTGCATGTTTAAAAAAAGAAAAATTGCCATTAGCCTTATTTCATTTTAATTAGCTCACTGGAATGTTTTACAGCATATTCAGCATAAACGCTTTACATAAATTAATTTTAATGGGCGATTTATATCATTTAACACTAGAATATGTGTTTGATTTGTTTTTTTTTTTTCAAATAATTTCTCAAGACATAAATGCACCTTCACACAAGGGCCAAAAGAAATCCAGTCAGAGAGCTAAGCCAAGCAACTCTTCTGTTACCCCTCCTAATTCACCAAGCTCACGCTCTGGCCGAGTGCCACTGCAATTGAGCGCCAGAGGCTGGGAGTTCTCTGAGCCAGGAATTGACAGTAAAAACATCCTAAATGATCTTAACTGCCACCAGGATGTAGGAATAGCGATGGCTCTTCAGATAAGCAAATTCCAAATAAAAACAATTTGATAGTTGGAGGGGCTTAGAAATGCCGTCTATCCTCAGTTTTTTAATAGTGAGACTTTTTTTTTTCCCCTCCTTTTTACACTTCATCTTTTTCTCTCAATGTATTTACATTGCCCCGAAGCTCGGTGGCTCATCTTTACACCATTTCTGTGGTCCACTCAGCCCTAGAAGTTTCTGACCTTGGCTGCTACCTTCTCACTAGCCTACTGTATCTTCGCATTCAGTCTCTCTGTAACATTTTATTCCTTGCTGCTGTGATATCATTAGGTTATTTCCAAGTCTCCACTCAGACACTTATCTTCTACTTTTTATACTAAACTCTAATCTGGCTCATGTGTTATGCCACATCCATTTAAACTCTCGTGTACCGCTCTGTTGTATTACGACTTGTCTTCCAATGCAGTTTAGCTGCTGTGGAGGAAAAGTTTAATCAGTGAGTTTGAGGAAGTTAGCATGTCGATAAAGGCTAGCCAGCATGCCCTTTAAATCTTAAATTGATCTGTGATGCGTCTGTCCTAGTAATCCAGTAATAAGGGTGAAACCCCATAATACAGAACGGTGCTGTGTGAAATAAATGCACCTAATGGCAGCTTACCTTAATTTGAAACTATAGAGCTGTGCAAATACACATGCCCAAATGCACAATGAAAATCCTCTGCTCCTTGCATATTGGTGGGATTCTTCTCTTGCACCACTGGACACTGGATAAGTAACTAGGTAGTGAAGTAGAAAGAAGTAGTTGCTTATTACTTTTGGAATCATTTCACACATAAGCACAAATATTCCAAAAGACTGTCTCCAGTACAGTGGTTAAGTTATCGTTGCTTTAAGCCATTTTACACCACTGTGAGGTGTCTGCGTGCCTTCTGGCCTTGATGTGATCTCTCTTCTCACCTCATTCTGAACTGTGAACAACAGCTACCAAACGCGTAATTGGAGTTGATAGAGCAACTCTGATCTGTCTACCCTCTCTTCTGTCCTTTCCCTATCATCATGTTTTCACTTGAGACGCGCATTTGAGACAGTAAAATAACTAAGATATCCATAGACCACCTTTTAATTAAGATATTTGCCATCCACTGTTGCGTACACACAACTAACAGCCAGTCCTTCCTAAGTGAATCATCTAATTGAACTAATCAGAGCAAGGTTCACTGTCGTTGACCAGCCTTCATGACCAAGGTCCCTAGTAGAAGGAACAAATGGAGAGCCACTAGTATACTGAAGAAAATTGGGCAGTACACCCACAGTGAATGCGAGGTCTTTCTTTCCTCACGCTCTGACAGTTGTGGGGGTTTTGTTTGTTTTGGGTTTTTTATTGTTTTTAATCCAAAACAGGGCTGAATCAATCTCTTGGCTCAGTTAATTAGTGGTGCTTTGAAACAATAAATGGTTCTGTCTCACCTGACCACCTGACCGTATACTGACTGATTGAACTGTCACATTTGGAACAGATCTCTAGTGTGGATGTGTACAAGGTGATGCCTCCTCACCTTCACAGTTCTAAAGAAGGTTGTCTGTGTGTGTCAGTGGCTTGAAAGAACTAGCAGCTCTCCAAGTACCGGTTATCTCTGTTTGCATTCTTTGCTAATGTTTCATTTTTCTTGTATTTCACACCTGGAGGCTCTTTGTTCTTCACCTTCTATCTGCTCTGTTGAAATTGTATGAGGTGAGAGGGCCATCTTTCGGTAGGATCTTGACTAGGTACTGATGAAGTGAACTGGCTCATTTTTTGAACCTCAGTTCAAAAACTGTTTGGAAAGGCTGGGTTCCATGTAAACCACAGCAGAACTGGGCTTCTGCGCTTGAAATTGACAGTGTTGTTGGGAAGATTTTAAATTATACTGTGGAATGTTGACAGATGAGAATGAGCATGCAGTTTGGGATAAAGAAAGTATTAGAAATAAGAATACAGCTTTCAGAAAGTTCAAGTCATGAAGTTGACCAGAAAAGTAAATAAGAACGTGAACTCTGGCAAGTCAAATGAAAAATATAAGGACCTGCCAGAAAGACTCTGAGCAACATCATACTACTAGCAAAAAAAAAATTTCTTTTCCGAGTACATCAGAAGCAAGAAAGTTGCTAGAGTCTGGAGGGCCAATAGATGATGAAGAATTGAAATAAATATTTAATGATGAAGCAATCGGTAGAAAGTTAAATGACTTATGTGCGTTCCTGTTTACTGTGGAGGAGTCCAAAGAGTCTATGCCAGAAATTATTTTTATGGGGAACAGGACTCATTGGAAGATCTGTCTCTGCTTGAAGTGTCAGCATGTAAGTTTTTAGAGCAAAATGATAAATATAGTTACAAAATGCCAAGACCA